CACCACTTGAGGAACGTCGCGGAGTCGGACCACGCGTTGGTCTGCGAGAAGTACTTCAGAGGTGAACCCCCGTTCTTGAAGCAGCGGGGTTCCTTTGCCCTCCCCATGATGGCCATGTAAACCTTCGCAGTGCCGTCGGCATTGCAGCACATGATGGCAGACAGTCCGTCCTTGAAGTTCATGCTCTTTGAGCCCCGCGCCGTCTTCCGATCCTCCGAGGTGGAAAGGTACGTGCGCCTGGGCATGAGCTTCCACTGGAGGCCTGACTCGTCGACGTTGACGATGAACCTAGCCGGGTACTTCTCGCAAAGGGCCCTGATTTCCTCCATGCCCTCCTTGATGGCCTCCTTGTCGACGCTACCAGCCTCGCCATGAAGTCTCACGCTCTGGATCTTGTTGCGCTTCACGAAGTTCTTCGCCCACCTCTTGCCGGCCTTGAAGTCCTCCACCCTCTCCCTCACTGCTGCAGAAGTTGCGGTGTCAGCCAGCAGGGTTGCCCTGGTAGACCGGCCGAAGCTTCGAAGGACATCGCGTGTGACGGGCATCTTGGCCTTCCGGGCTTTGTCGAGTAGATCAAGAGCTATCTCATCCACCTGCCGCCAAAAAACGAGTAAACAACGCAGAGAGTGCAAAAGATCGAACGGTTAGTTTCGAACGTAAGCATGCTAACCTACACTGCGCGGCGCGGACAGGCGGACGAAGCGTACCCTGTTACACTAAGCTCACACGTTCGAGTTTTGTTCCCAATTGTGCATTAGTGTGAAGTACATTTGGACAAAAATGCGGCAGGTACAAACAAGAAGCGCTGCCGTGTTGTAGTAATTTACTGGTTCAAAATTGAAAAGAGGGTGTGTGCGAGAGCACAAGGAACGAATGAACGATGAAAGCGGAGAAAAAAGAAACGCGAGAGACAAAAAATGGAAAGAAAAAGCCGAAAAAAGACAACAAACCAAAGGAGAAAGAATGCGAAAAAAATTTTGGACATCCACCAGCGAACGAACCAGGGTCGAAAATAAAAGGCCGGCAAAAACAATGGCGGGGGAAATAACGAAATAACCCATCGTCACAGCATTGCATGTAGCGCACCTCCGGAAAATCTCCTTTGCGTGCAGTTTTCTGGCTGCTGCAGCCTGCAGCAGTTGCTGTCTCCACCTTCTGCCGGCCAGCCTTCACGGTCCCAATAAACCGAAGCAAGCACTTGAAGCGGTCTGCAATCTGTGCGTGAGACACCTTCTGATCCAGCATCTTCAGAATCTCGAGCTTCTTGTTGTTGTCCAGCCGCGCACGAAAACCCGTTCCCTTCTTGCATCCCCCGCTCGTCTGCTTCTGGCGTTTAGATGGTCCCGCCCCAGCACCCTTAGCTGGTGTCGCTTTGCGCTTGCTAGTCCTGGCGACACACGTGGTGCAGATGCGGTGCTGCTCGTTGTCCTCAAACCCGCTGCCGCAATTGCCGTGGAGCCGCCCGCCACATCCTCCCTTGCAGGGGTGGCCATGAGGGGGTTGCGGTGTCCTGTCTTGTTGAAGGCACAGTTCACCTTCCGCACAAGGCATGGTGCGCCTCTGCGTAAAACTCTTCGGGTCTGCAGCAGCGCGTGTACCCTCTGTGTTGCGTGTATCCGCTGTCTTGTGTGTGCTTTGTTATTAGCATCGACCGCGCTAACCGGCTGACCAATGAAAAGACGTCAGTCTTAGTGCGGTTGAAAACATAAAACACTTCTATCTACCATGGACTGGGACCCCGTGAGGGGGCAGCATGGGGGAGGCTAAACTATCCTTTGGATCAAAAACAGAAACAGCAGCAACAGAAGAAAACTGCACCCGTCTACCAAGGCTATTACCTAGTACTCGAGTTCGTTCAGGAGTACTTTCACCAGCATCCTCCTTGTTTTCGCTACCATCATTCTGATCCTTATTTTGACAAGAAGAATCTCTGGGCAGTTCTTCCCTAGCCCTACGTTTCTTGTTGTGGGGAAGGTCATCTGGCTCAAACCCTTTGCTCTCTTCCACTCCTCCATGTTTTCCTGCTCCATCGTCGTCTTCATCCTCCTTTGTTCCCTTTCCCTTTCCTTCGTCTTCGTCACTCCCAAAAGAATTACCCTCAATGCTATCGTTGTCGCAGAAATCCCAACCGATTGGCCCTGGTGGAAGTTGGTCGATCAGTAGCCCATGACGTTTGAACACATCGCGAGTTCGCATCGACAGAAAGCGAGCTAGCTCGAAGGTAAACCGTCTCCGAATCCTGTTAGTATGAAAAGCTTTCAGGCGAACTACGGCTCTTTCGTCTTCAAAATCCCCCCAGCAAAAAGATTCGTGCGCCAAGTGGTTGGCGGATGGGTTGACGATTGTTACGTCTATGAGAATGGACTTGGTGCAGAGTTCCTCTTCCTTCTCTCCTGCGTGTAATCCTGGGGGGATTACCAAATCCATCTTGTGTAGCCTCTTTCCCCTACCAGTGCCTGTGGTAAAAAGGGAAGAATCCTCAACGGCGATGATGGGCATATGGCACTCGCGCAGTGTCTTGAGGACTGCTCGAACCATCCTGTTATGGAGGAAGGTTGAGGCGCCGGTCTTGGTGCAGACGAGGGAGTGGGCACGGCTCAAGCGGTCCTTGCATGGTAACAATGCACCTGCACCACAAAGTTTGCCTGTGTTGCAGTCTGCTCGATCGTGACTCCCCAGTACACGACTGATTGACTCTCGATATAGATCAGGCAGCATTCTCTCATTTGCTGACAACCCTTGCGTTGTCAACCACGACAAAACTCCCTTGCCTTTCGCTTCCTCCAAGCGGATCAGTGCTCTCTTCTTTAGCGTTTCCTCGCCTACTACTTTCTGCAAGTCTGTCTCCACCATGTGACGCATTGCTGCATGAAGCGGTTTCGAACGGAGAGCTTGGGCCCCAAAGACTTGGTAGTTTTGACCAAATTCATTTCGGCTGTAGGTGGACGGTGGTTGATGTTCTACGTCAGGGTTTCCGTCTTCGCGGGGTTTTCCCGCCTTCCCTCTTCCAACAGGCAAACTCCTTTGAGGTCGGGGTGTGTGTGAACCGGCACTATTGCGGGACGCCGTGGTGCCCAATCGGCACTATAGGGGACCGCACCGGCACTATTGAGGGCGCTCCCTGTGTCCAGAGATTTCACCGGCGCTTTAATGCCGGGCATCGGCACTATTCAATCGGCACAATAGCGGGCCCAGTACTACTGTAGATCTCCGACAGGTCATCTGGCGTCACAATCTACGACAGTCTGAGGTGGCGTTCACAAGACCGTACAAAAAATCGACAAGAAAGAACAGAACTATACACACACTACTGTATTATTTTGTACGTGTTCATGTTTTTTTTTCTTTTTTCCCACTGTTGGCTGGTGGTTGGATTGAATTTATTTTTACATCTGAACAAAAATATCCATCGGTCATTTTTTGTTATTATGATGGCATTGTTTTTTTCATAATGATGATTTATTACTGTCTCCAGACCATTCGTATCTAATATAACATTCGGCTTGTTTATCGTAATGATCAAAACAGTTCTCACGGTACCTAATGGTACCCCACCGTCGTACGTGTGTGAGATTTCTCATGGTGCCCCATCTCCAGCAACACATCGGCGCCCATGGCGACCCATTATAATGTCATGGTGCACTTCGTCCTCACCCATGGTGACCCTCGGTATCCCACGGTACCCCATGGGGGTTCGAAGATAAAGTTCAAAAGGATAAATATCCGAGAGGGAAATGCGCAAAACTCGTTATTTCCAAAATATATTTTACGTTTTCAGTATGCCCCGTTAATTCTCATGAGGCGCCATGGGGAGCCACGACTACTTCCTCATCAACCCCCATGGGCTCCCAATTTTTTTGAATGCACCAAAAAAGCTGGTGGACTCCAGTATGCCCCATCGTGCCCCATGGTGCCCCATGAGGCCTCATGGGGCACCATCAGGCCTCATGAGGCCTATAGTTTAATTTTATGTTTCCCTTTTCCCGCCTTTTTCGATATAGTTTCTTGTGGGATCTCATGGTGCTGTTATGGCATTTGGAGGTAGACATGTGATCGTGGTTGACCATGGTTGTTTCGCGCCGTCGGATGCTAAGACGTGACGTCATGCTAGATCAGGGCTTTATGCCGAGTCATGTGCCCTTCTGTTCAATGTGTGCGTACAGACGATCTCTGATCGTGTGTGCGTGGGATATTGTGAGTTGGCTTGGAAAGCGTTAATCAAGACAAAGAGAACAACGGAAAGCAACAACCTACTTACTGTGGTCGGGCAAGAGAGTTCCACACAGCTCAAGGTGATTGATTCTGAAGGAAGGGGTCATATACCATTACTACAGTGCCCCATAGATAGCACGCCATGAGGGCTCATGGTGACCCGTCAAATTAATACTTATTTTCAGACCCCATGGAAAATCTCATGGGACACCATGTGGTGGTTTTCCATGGTACCCCATGAGATATCTCATGATACTATCGATTTTCAACGTGCCCCATGGACCCCCGTGGACATGTCATGGGGGTCCATGAGATTTCTCATGGAGTCCCATGAGATTCTCATAGCGTCTCATGGGGACCCATGGGGTTCCATGGGTTCCCATGGGTTCCCATGAGATTAATCGGCGTTACACAAAAATAAATGCCAAACCCCCTAACTTGTGTAAAAAAAAGTGTTGGAACATGAAACAACGATTTTCGTGATCGCCTCGTGGAGCGACGTCGAAAGCTGCAGAGTTTTTATTTTTTTTTTTGAGAAAACGAAATTTCGTTTTTTGGGAAAATCGGGAAAAGGCGACACCTACCTGCGGAATTTCGAGAGGAATCGTTTGCCGCACTCTATTTTAAAATCGTGAAGTTGGTTTTCGCAGGGCATTGCGAGCAAAATGCCCAATTCTAAATTCGTCGTTTCTTGATATATTTTGTGTTGGAAAGAGGCGTCACCAGGTAAATTCCACGAGCTGATGAAATCCGGTCGATTTGTTCTCTGAAAAGTAGACCCTTCAGCCCTCCAGTAGGTGGCGAACAGATGTTTCTGGATATTTTGAAATAAAAAGTCAACGAACTTAGAGAAAAAAGAAAAACGAACTTTAGATTTCTGCGCCTGGAGGTAGGGCTTTCAACGCTATTTTTTAAATTCGGAACAACCACCCCCCGAGAGTGCACCAAAGTGCAGGGCGGCAAAGTGGATCGGAAGTCCCAGACGGACCATATGAGCGCTACATGAGCGCTGTATGAGCGCTTCTCGGATGTGATATAGTGAATTTTCGTTGGATATGAATATTCGGCATCGTGGAGGAGGGGGGTATTGAAGTAGCTTGAAGGGGGATCGAAATTGGTTCCAGTCCCGCTCCCTCATTCTCCGAGTGGGCGCTGAGTGGATCTTGGTCTAAGAAGGACAATTGTTGTTGTTGTTTGTCTTCACATTAAACCGTATGTCAGTTGCTAAATGCCAAAATCTAGCAAAAGACTCTCAGCCCGTGGTCACGAAAGTGCTAGAGCCATCTGAGGATCTAAAGAACACGCACACATCTGACGAGAAAAAGGTATGCAAGAGCCCGAAGAGGTACACCTAAAAATCCCTGCAGCACCGTATGCGNTCGTCGTGTGCATTCGCCTACCGGTGCCTTGGTGTGGGAGTACAAAGCCATATCACAGACTGGTGTAGAATCCGTGTGGCTGTCGGAAACGCACGTTTACACGCTTGCAGTTGGACGGGTTCATTGCACTATGGCATCTGTACTATCCTGAATTGGCGCCTCAACCTACCCCACACTCCCTACCGCGTGCACCGTTGTCCCCGCGTGAAGCCCTGCGAATTTACTCAATAGGTTTCACTTTCCAGAAAGACTTTGGCGGAGGGCAAAAGCTCCAAGGACAAGTGTTTGGTTACCGAGACCGCTACTGGCGTGTGTGTTACAGTAACCAGAACTGGGAGGAGTTGACGCGTCAGGAGCTGGAACGTTGTCTTCACTGAAGATCGTCGTCACCGCACCAGTGGCTGCTGATTCGTGCATGTTGGGGTGGGGGGACATTTACCCGTGTATCGTGTGGATTCTTTTGTGTCGTGATGTCAAGTTGGGGGGAAGCAATCGCCTTGTGGGTTTGTTGGGATATTGGAAACTGTGGGGCCTTGGAAAATGCGGTGCTGTCGGAGGAATAGGGGTCTTGAGGCTCAGTCGTGGTGAATGGGCTTACTTGCGGAGGGTATGTATTTGTTCCTACTCGGTAGGCGGTACCGAGTCGATGGTGGATTGGTGTGTTCATTGTATGCAAGCGGGCATGCGTGGACTGGTAGGTCCTGGAGGACTTGGTCGCAATCGCTGTTATGATTGTGATAACGCTTGTAGCCAGTGGCGGTATGTCGGTCTATTCCACTGGCATGGAGATCGCTCTCCATGCCAACGAACTTCACGAGAGGGTTTGTCGAAAGTTTGTCCCTCAGAGAAAAGAGAGAGACGAGATGGCGGCGTGAAGTATCGGGTGGATAGTTCCCTTTCGAGGCATATCGGTTGATGGAGAATCCTGCGGTTCTGCCATTGCATTGTTTACAATTACAGGATGAGGCGTTTGTATATTATGAGTTGATAATATACTAGGGGGGATGTTACGGTTCGAGGTATTCATTCTCCCGCAAGTACACCCCCACAGAGGTAGTTGGCCGCATTCTGCGGAGCCTCTGCAAGAGCTGTCCGGACTCGCCCTCCTCTGCTCACAACCAAGCTACCATCCTGAGCTTGAACTAAAAGAATA